GAGAGAGAGAGAGAGATTATAAAATATATAAAATATCGAAATACACAAAACAAATTTATAGCAATTTACAAAACAACTAAATTTATAGCAACAATATTCTTACATTCAATATGTCTTGAATCAAATTAGGTATCAGTATCTTGTTTAGCAAGGCTGAAGATAAAGTGCCAGATTTGTTCAGTTTTTTGAACCCATTGTCGATTGATGTATGGCTTTACATGGCTACAGCCTACTTGTTGGTATCAATAATGTTATTTCTTCAGGCAAGGTAAGGCGTTTCATAAATTGTATATAATTTTAAGTAAATACTTTGTAATTTTCACAAAAATATGAAATGAAAAGCAATATTATTATATATTATATAACAGAAAATAAAAGAAAACAAATTGCTGATAATGTAATGTATTTCGTAAGAGTAATTTATGGTTAAATTCTTTCGAAAGAATGGCACCAGGTGAGTGGGATAATCCACATCCATGCAATGCAGATCCTGAAGAACTTGAAAACAATTTTAATATTAAGAACTCGTTTTGGCTCACAATCGGTTCTCTTATGCAACAAGGATCGGATATATTGCCCAAGTAAGTTTAAAGTCTTATATTATTATTATTATTAAACATCTTTTATATACATATATATATATATTTTATGTTGTTATATACGTCTATAACTATTTCTTTAATATATCATTTATCATTTTCGATACCGAAATCAATCCTATAATTCCCAATGGGAACGTGACTAAGAATTTTATTTATAAATCCAAATTAATTAAATTTAAGTGGTGTAAGTTTAATTATATATTTTATATATGTTGTTATATAGATATACAAATTATTTAAATTTATTATTTGATATGATTAAATTTATTTATTTCAATACCAACTATTTGCCAACTATAATTACACACATACACGCTCACACACAGATACTTTTTCTACATTAAATTAATATATTTATTTTATTTTGTTTGCAAAAAAAAAATCATTAAAATCATTTTTAGAGCACCATCTATAAGAATGTTAGCCAGCATGTGGTGGTTTTTCACACTGATCATGATCAGCTCGTACACAGCTAATCTTGCGGCTTTCCTAACGGTAGATAAGATGGATACGCCTATTAAAGGTGTTGAAGATCTTGCTAAACAGACGAAAATTCAATATGGTGCAGTTAAAGGTGGCTCAACGATGGCATTTTTCAGAGTACAGTTTATTTATCGACGTTTATTTAATTTATAATATAGAAATTGTTACGTTATGATTCAATATTGTCTAATTGCAGGATTCAAATTATTCGACATACAAACGCATGTATGCTGCGATGACGGAGTGGAGACCAAGCGTGTTCACGGAAAATAATGATAAAGGTAGGCAATTCCAATCATCGGAAAAGGATTTCGTAATTCAAAGAAACAAGTTCTTTTTTCGCAATGTCATTTCTCAGATCTCTGTTACAACTTTCTATTGCAATACAATTCAGGTGTCGAACGAGTTATCAGTGGAAAACGACAATACGCTTTTCTTATGGAATCCACCACGATCGAATATAAAATGGAACGAAATTGCGAACTCGAGAAGATAGGCGGTCTTATAGATAACAAGGGATATGGGATCGCCATGCCACGCAGTAATATTTTAAATTTTGCACTTCTAATATTTCTTCAGCTTTTTTATAAACCATTTTTTTTTTACATATTATGCAGATTCTCAGTATAGAACACCGATCAATGGCGCGATATTGACACTGTTAGAAAAAGGTACATTGGCACGATTAAAAGAAAAGTGGTGGAAAAAACAAGGGGGAGGGCTATGCGAAAAGTATGAAGAGGATAAGAGCGCTAGCACGAGCGAATTAGGATTTGCAAACGTTGGTGGCGTCTTTTTAGTTTTAATGTGCGGTTGCGCATTCTCAGTTATTGTTGCAATTATTGAATTTTTATGGAATATCCGGAAAGTCGCTGTAAGAGAAAAGGTATGAGGCTTTTACTTTATCTTATTCAAAATTATTTTTACATTATATTAAATTCTTTTTATAAATATTACAAATAAAATAAATTAACTTTGTTTTTTTTTTTTTTAACTAGAGGAAACAACCTAGTAATTTAAAGTTATAATATGAAACTTCTTTTTTATCATAAATTAAATTATACAATAAGAAAATACATAACATGCGAATTTTAATATTATACGTCAATGTTAAATTTAACACGTCAGTTACACCACATATCATCTCATCGCGACGATATATTAAAGAGAAACTTAATTACTATCTTTCACACAGATCACGCCGTGGGAAGCGTTAGTTGCCGAGTTGAAATTCGCCGTAAACATTTTTGAAACAACAAAACCCGTTAAAATTTCCAAGAGCAGAAGCAGCAGTGCAAATTCCATGGAAGGCGGGCTTGGCAGAGCTGCATCCACCGCTCGATCAATCGTTGGATCTTTCCTACGTCTTGATATGCTCGATAAATTTGATAAAGATCACAATACGAACAATCGTAGCAACGATCGAAAAATAAATTAATCATAGCCACGAGAATAAAATTAAACTACGGATTTCTGAGTAATAATTTAAGAATAATTCGAAATTATACGAAGATGATTGTATTATAATTGTATAATCGGTAATTAATAAATATATATATATATATATATATATATATATATATATAATAATATTTTATTAT